GCTGGCTCTTTGGAGCACACACAATCTCCTAGTATGATGGCTTCAGAAGTTGTTAATGTAAACAGACTCTCTCATTTGCATGCAGAGCACTTCATCAATGTACAGTGTATTCTCCTTGAGCTGGATCTCCTCCTCCAAGGAAAGCTGTCGGCAGCTCAGACCTTTCAGCTCTGTCTCAGCCTGTGCCAGTGCATCCTTTAATCTAACAGGGAAAATACAGACAGACATTAATTGACAACACATGGATTTTTTTTTTTTTTTTCGTATGGCGTAAGAATTCTGAGCAGAAAAAAAAGATGGAAGGGAATTCACAGAGAGACAATGCCCATGCAGCTTCCCTTAGTGTCCTGCCCTTAAGGGAAAAGCAATTCCCAGCCTTTCAAGGAGAACAGCTGGGACCCAACATTACTTTGACTCATTAAATTAACCCACTAATCTATACCAGGTTTTCCCCTCCTGCATCTTTTCCACTTGCCTTTGAGTATTTTTTGTAATCTCTTGAACTTCACTACTCAGCCTGTGTTGCACTGTGTCATAACACAATTCCATATTGGGGCGATGGTTTCTTGCTTCCAAGCAGGTTTGAGCCACTTTAACAGGTCCTTCTTTATCAGCGATTGCTTTCTTTAAGGCTGCAATGTTCTTCTCCTGTGAGGCAGTCTCCTCCATCACCTTAACAAATCCAACACAAGGAAGTGCTGCACAGTTTCTTACAGTGGGTGAAATCATAAACCTATTTTTTTAATATAGTAATAACAATCACAGTTTCTGAGTGAAACTGGAGATTTACGCTCAGCAATTAATTTTTAACATTAAGGCTCAGTTTTCATGTATAAAATTTTGAGCACATTGACTCTGATTTTATGAGTTATTAGGCTCTTATATCACAATTGTGAAAATTCCGTGTAACTAAAAATTCACAAAGGAAATCCTGACTTTACTGATGTCTACAGCAACACATCGCGTGAGTTACTCCAGAAATTCACCTCTGTAAGGGTGCACACAGAGCTGAGAAAACAAAAATCTAAGATGAATGTGTCTGGTTTTGTTTGTTTGTTTGTTTGTTTTGGGGGCAGGCGGGTGGGTGGGAAATGTGGCAGGGTTTGCCAATATTATAAAAGTAAAATTCTTAAAGCAAAGTAGCTCAAGCCACTGGATTGAGAAAACTAGTAGATAATTCAAGCCCATTGTTTCCACTTTTTTGGTGACTGTCCCTTACCACTTACCATTGCAAGGAGTGTCTCTAGCTTGTGCTTGGCATCCTTGACTTCCTTCACCCTATTTCTAAATGCGACATTCACCATCTCATATTGCTTGCGCATGTCATTTGCTGTCTGTGAGAGGATGCCATCAATCAGCGCCCTCAGTGCCAAAGAATTGTTTCTCTGCTTGTCAGCCTTTTCAATGTTTATATTTGAGAAATCTAGCCAGTCTTCAGGGCTAACAAAACTGAAACAGATTCAAAATAACAGGTCATCGGTGGGCAGCATGAGGCTCTCTGACTTCATAAGTCTGCAATTACTCCACAAAACTGAGAACAAAGCAGTCCTGTTAACTGCACGTCCCAATGAGTGCCAGTTGTGCTGGGAATTCTACAGATACAAAATAAAGACCCCCTCTGTGGCAAACTTTTCAGAAGGAAGTAGACCCACAGTAGAATGGAAACCAATTTGCTAAAGTCACAGAGCAACTTTGTTACAACTTTCCCTGATAAAGGATTAAGTTGTTGTGGGGGAAACACAGATAATACCAGTATTCTTAGAACACCTTTTGTTAATTAAGCTGTTATTACTAATATAATTCAGCTGTTACTATTAGTAGCAAGCAACTATTCACACAAAATATTAACTGTTTCTCTCAGATGGTTCACCACCTATAAGACAGTCACTTACAGTACTTAGTTGGAGTAGTTGGGAAGCCAACCCCCAGCTGCATCCCCAGAATTTAAGGGTCATACTTGTGTACCAGTGGCTTGCAGGCAGGTGTTTGGAAAGTTCCTCAGAGGCTTCCGTGTTTCATTGGGTGGACATATAAAGCTGTAATTGTCATTTGCATATAGCAGCCAACACTGTCCTGGGTGTGGTCTGAGTTATACAATCTGTTGTTGGTGCACACTAACAAGAGCTGTCAGTCTCTTGGGTGTTCCAAGTTTGTCAGTTCTCTCAGAGCCAACAGTGTCCTTGGGAAACTGTCTCACACACACTGCTTTCTCAGTGTGCTTCCCCTTTTCAGCCTGTTTTTCTGTGGTAGCTATTGCTCCATCTAAATCATTAAAACTAACAAACCCACACAGAAGGGGTGTATTTGACAGGTTAATGACTGAGTCAGAAACTGACTCGACACACCTCATGTGTCCCAGTCCAGTGTTCTCCCCACCAGGACACCCCGAGAGAGGAGAGGAAGTTAGATTGGTAAATCTACTACGGGTTTAAGCAATATGTGAAATTTTTCCTTAGCTAACTAGAGCCTTGAAAACTTTCAGTAAACTGCAGTCCACAGGGAACATGATTATCGTGGCTTATTACACAGATACTAAAGTGATGGACAGAAGTATAAAAAACACTCAAACAACAGATGATGGACATATAGTCTGTTTTACACAAAATGACTTTAACCTTGCTATTACGGAACGGCTTATACTATCTGTATAATTATCATATGTAAATTGAACTAAATAACCACTTACTTTCCTTCTCTTTTCACTGCATTATCGGTGTATCTGATATCAGGAGTGTTGGTTGTCAAGCTAGCACAATAATTATCAATCATCAAAGCTGCGAACTTGTCCTTCAGATCCAGTTCCAGGTTATATTTTGCTGAACGGTTTAGTCTAGGAGGAGAAACAACCGAACTCTAAGCCAAAGTGTAGGCACTCACAAGGGCCCCTAACATGCATGCATATATGCATTAAGTAATACAGATGCTGTTATGGAATTCTTCATGTATGACCTGTTAGTTGCAAAGTCTCAAAATCTAGAGCATGAATCTGCCTCCATATAAATTGATGGTACAACTCCCTTTGGAATTAAAGGCACAGGACTGGATCATGAGAAGACCAAGGATCACATGCAAGTACTTTGAGTTCTAACAAACAGAACTTCTCATCATTATTGATCAAATGGGATAAATTAAGACTGACCTCTTGTAACTGTTTAGCACTGAAGATAACTTTGGACCTGTGCTCAGCCTAACCCTACAACTTCTCAGAATTATGGTCATCCTACTTTTCAGCTAATTGGTGTTCAGTTACGCTCTATGCCTTTGCACCTGATTTGCTCATTGGTTTGTTCCAGTGTATGTCCAAGCAAAGCAATAACCCCCTGGAGGACTTCAGCTTCCTTCACCAGTTCCTGTTCCACTTCATCATGCACCAAGTCAATCCCAGCTCGCTCCTGCCTAAACAAAAAGAGGAAAAGCCATCAGCCACATTGTTCAAATACCTGCAGCTAACAGAAGATTATGAAGTCCAGCTTTCCAAATGGAAGGCTTTTCCTTCTCACACAGGAAATTTTTCCTTTATGGCCTTGGTTCCCTAGTGTTACAACACCTAAATCAGACTCTTACTCCACTGCAAAGAGAGGCAAGCCCTTAGTTTGCAGTCTTTTAAATTATTTGTTAAAGGTTCATTACGTAGATTTTTTTTTTTTCTGTTCCTGAATGCTTTTCATCTGAATCATCTCACCTGTTCAGGAGACACTTTTGGGCAATAACAAGTGGCTCTTTGCAGCTCTCCAAAGATCTCTCCAGCCTAGTTTTGAAAGTCAACAGTACCTCTGTCTCATTAACAAGTTGTTCAAGTTTGTCATCTAATTCTTGCTTCCAGAATTTCATTTCTTCCTGTCTCTGTTCTGCAGAATGAAAATAGCAAACAGATATTAATACAAGCCCATCTGATAAGCCACAGCACAGCGGGTCACATCTTAGATATGGCTAAAAACAGACTTATTCCATAGTGGTGTGCACATAGTGCTGTAAGTTGATGTGTGGAGACAGTTTGGCAGCCCTGTGTCAGGAGGTTTGGTTGGAATAGCTTTCTGTGTGTTTTGGAGAAGTAAGTTATAAAATAAAGAATTTGCCTCAAAATGTTTTAAAAAATATTTTTAATTTTTCCATGAGATCAGAGAGCATGGCATTCACACATATTTCTAAGTCCATCTTAAACATATAGCTCAAATAACTTATCTTGACACTTGCAGAACAAATGGGATTACCTATTCTCTTGTTGACATCACTTCGGGTTTTCTGAGTTGTCTTTTCTATTTCATCCAGCAGCCTCTGACTCTCAGCTATCGTGCGCTCTGACCTGGATTTCTGAGACTCTGTACTGGCACACTGCATCTTGTTTGCCATGTCCCATTCTGCGGGATGATACTTGGGTGGAGCTTGCAACAGTCTGGCCATTGTTTTTTGGAAAGTTTCTGGATATAACAGGTCAGTTCTTGGAATGTGGAACCTGAAAACAGGAATAGCATTATCTTTGGTTTCAGAAGCAAGAAGGGGAGAAGATAGGTCCACGAGAGTGAAAATAATTCTTGCCCCTTTTACCTGCAAAATGACACAGGCATGAAAATAAGACTTCTTGCTCAAGGCTCCTCAAGACTTTACTGAGGTGTAAGGGGAGACGATAGTCTGGAGTGGGAGAATGAAGAAACAGAAGAATTTGGGAAAGGAGGCTAGGAGGAGAGAGGCTAAGAGGCTTGAAAGTGGAACTGAGAGGAAAAGATGGGCTGTCTGCAATAAGTGGGAGAAGAGAAGGGAAAGAAAAGGAGACCTGTGAGGAAGGACAGAATTACTAAATGGACGATCGGAGAAAACTGAGAAAAAGTGAACAAATATAAAATATAGTCTCCGAGAGGTTGAAGAAGTAAACACCTTTTAAGAATATGGCTGGAGAGGTGCATGAACTCTAGGTTGTAAAAAAGAACTGTAATGGTCATTAGGAGGAAAAAAAGAAAAAAAAAAAGATAAAACAGGACCTGGAAAGCTGAAGGAGGAAATACTGTGCATACTGGGAACACTGGTTTAGTGTAGGGTGAAACCAATGCACAAAATATATGCAAAGTCACAGCAGTTTGATTATCAATTTTCCTATTCTTGCATTATTCTCATCTAGTGTTCCTGAGAAAACTCCTCACCCCAAATGCACACAGCTGCTCCTCAGCAACACACAGTTTTGCCCACACTCCAGCCCAGGTACCCCTAAAACAATCCTCCCCCCCACCTTCTCCCTCCCACACCTCTTGGCTGATGCTGCTCCTAACCTGGACCGCTCCCAAGGTCAAACCCTGGCTAAGTGCCACGTCTTCAGTTCACCTCCACTGAGGGAGGGGGAGAAGGGTTTTGCTACCAATTGTCTTCTGGCCTCAGTCTCCACAGCAGCAGCCCCTAGTTTCTTTTATAAAATGTTGGACTAAATATTCCAGGAGGTGGCCGAGAACAGCATGGAAGGTAAACAAACCGGTTGCTATGGGAACATGAACGGCCTCTAGCCACCTTCCACAGAGGTGGAAGAAGCCCAGCACATCGTGGTGCTTCTTTTTACCCATTCCCAGTTAAGATCTGTCTAGAAATAAAAACATATTCTTTGCACATTAATTTAGGTAGTTCCCACAGCTTTGGACAGTATTTTGTGATTATTTATTGCAGAAATGCATAAAGCTTGTGAAAGCAAATGAAAGGCTTCTTAAGTACCTAGCTATCTAAAATGTCAGTCATAAACAGTATGATCCATCTTGTGGCAACTATATTCTTTCCTGGGACAAAACAGATGGGGAGCCAGAGAGAAGAAATGAAGGAGACAAAAGAGCATTACATCAGATGGTACAGTTATGCCCCCTCTGTATAGCCCTGATGTAGTTTAGATCAGAACAGGATTTCTCAGAGTTCCCACAAGGTTCAAAGAGATTGCAGAGTGAAAAAGCAGCAAGTAGCATTGGTCAAAAGAAGCTGAGCTGGTCCAAGACAGAAAAGTGGGAAGCAACTGCAATTGTTGGCCGCAAATACAGTGCAGTGACAGCTAGAAAGCTACTAATGATTTTTAATTTCAAACAGTAGCTAAATTCTCTCAGTGATCATTAAAACTGGTATCTACAGTGCCTCTTATGCCAGCTGCCGTGTAAACAGAAATCTGCACATACGCCAGAGGAGCAAAAAAAAACGGGTTTCAGCTGAAGAAAAAAATGCAGGTATTTCAGAGTTAGACAAAGAAAAATACACGCTTCAGAAGACAGGGTTGACAGAATATGTGTGAGGCTGCTTATTAGTAGTCTTCCACAAAATTGTATTATCTGTACTCTCAGTAACATTCCAAGGCTTTTAGAAATATAAAACAATTAAAGAGGGATGACAAAATGATTCATAATAAACTGAAATGCTGAGATATCTGAATGGCAGCTGAGAACAATGAATGTCTTACCTTTCTGAAAACGTGCTCAGTCACTTTAAAAGCTGATAAATCCCCGAGTGATGGCCTTCCAAAACGTTACTGTCAGACCCGGCTGACTTTATGCAGTTCTGTTGTGAAAACCCAGCATCTGATGCTGTCCTGACCCAACTTGTGAGCAACACCATCATAAAGCCATTCATTGTAGTAACCAACCCTGAATCTGTTCATTGCTAGCTTACCATAAAAGTCTATTTCCTTTTAAACTGTTAATACAAAATTTACAACTGATCCTTCAGTATGAGTTATATGACATAAGAAAGTTTTATTTTTACCTCTCAGATGTTTTCCAGGGGTTAAATCATTGTAGACTTCCCGAGGCTGACACCAGCGCGCTGTTCGTCAAATGACAAGAGGAAAAATCAACTCAGCAATTTGGACAGTTTAGGAGGAATGAAAATTAAAAGGTTTGTTAATTCCTGAAAACCTCGAGCAATTTACAAGGGAAATGAAATGACCCCGAGGCAGACGGGGCTCCCCCGCCTCCCGTAGCGACCCCGCCTTGCCCCGGGGCCCCTCGCGCGAGCAGCACAACGC